TAAACTTTTCGGTTTTCCAATGAAGATCTGTAAATTTTTGTCATAAAACCAAAAATATTAACACTTTTGAATTTAAAAAAAAAAGTTTCTAATAAAAACTTCAAATCCTTATGTTACCACACTGTAAAACATGAGAAGAATCCAGATTGAACGACTCATGCTGAACGTGCGACTTGGACTTTTCTGAGTGAAACCCCACAAACCTTTACATGAAAACCGACAACATGTATGAATACAAAAGCTGGCACGCTAGCTAACAGCAGAACCATAAATCACTTGATGTAGCTGAAAAGCCAGGGTCGCATTCACCCAGCCTGCATCTGCTCTGTTAATTTCTTGATCCCATGCATTTGCGGGTACCGAACTGCTCCCCAGCATTTGCAGCTGCCGCAGTTACACTCCACCCAGCATAACAGCCTGGTGTCTTCCTGCACGCTTGCGCTCCTGTCACTTTTCATGCGATCACAGCTAAACCTCCTCTTTAGCAGCAGAACCCAAGCACCAAGCAGCCACCAGAGATACACTTAACTTGAAGTCTTTGTTACAGTTGGGGGGTCTGTAGGCTGGTGCAGCTTTGAGGCATAGTGGCTAAAGCAGTGCTCCTGTCTGTGCCCCCAGTCTGTTGTGCTGGTGTGGCTGGGGGGGGGGGGGGGGTGGGGGTGGGGGTGAGGAACAACTAGAAAGCCTCCTAAAAAGCACACTGTACAGGATTGCAATTGATTTGTACATTACTGTAAAGGAAAGGATGCTTCACTAGCAGAATGCTTCTACATTCAGCAATGCATGTATGGCTCCAGGCAACACCTGGGAATACAACTAACTCACAGTGCATTGGCTACCCCGAACTGGTATACAGGGAAGGACAGAGGCTAATATAGCAAGCACGGCCTATCGAAGGTGTGAATTGTCCTCAATGCATACGCAATCACACAATGCGGAATTGATATACTTTCTGAAAGAAGTTAGGTTCCTTCAGTTAAAAATGAGATTTAAAGCCCTATGAAAGGAAGGAGTTTAAGAGCGGAGAGGAAGGAACCAGCTTTTATACAAGTCGAGAGTAACATCGAGCCCAGAACGGTTGAGAGTCAATACCCAAACAACTGGGGGAGGAGGGGGAGTTTCCCTTTCCCCATGAAATACATTCGGACAGGCATGCACAGGAAGAAGCTTCTTCTCTGGAAGAAAAATCAGCTTCAGAGCATGTTACAAGCTGACTTCCGAAGTCGATTGACAACTGATACCCAGAACAGGAAAGCCTCAGACAACTAAAAGCAAGGTAAAATTTCAGAGCCAAGGCTTCTCAGCAGCTGTATCGCTGAAGGCCAAGCCTCCCCTGCAAGAATGTCCTTCAAAAGATATGATTATAATTTGATTTCGCCTTGCAGTACCCTGTCTCTGGGACCTGTTATTTACCTAGTACCTTCCCATGCTGTAATACAGCCTGGGTGGCAAAAAACAACAAATGTGGCTCTCAATTTTATTTATTAACGGGTCTTATCACAGCCATCCCTCTTCAAGACTGGTTTCCTTTCACAGATGGTGCTACTAAAGGTCCACTACAGCTGTAACTAATGGGTTTCCCTTCCTTTCTCCCCTCTGGGGGAAAAACATGAGTCACCAAAACACAGCAGCCCATCCCCAGCTCCTTTCTGACGACATCACAGCCATGTGCTTTCTCCAAGCGCCAGCAGCACCAGAGCCTTGCCATCACAGAGAGAAAACAACAGTTGGGTTGTTTTTCCCCATGACCGAGGCTTCGGATTAAAGTGGCAGCCATAGGACAGCCTGGCTCTTCACAAAGAAACAAACCCAGGCAGTGAGAAATCATCACCTAAAGTGGGAAGAGGGAGAGAAATGTTTTGTGAGCCAAGACGCCACCCTTTTACTGGAGGAGCTAGACTGCTGCCATGCAAAGGACCTGCAGGCAAATAGGTGTACTCCAGCAGGTTTCAGAAATTAAAATCCTGAATCCTGAAATCCTGATTCAGAGTAGCAAAGGGGTTTCTTTCAGAAAGAATTAGTTTTTTTAAAGGGGGCAAAGATAAATGTGAATTGCTTTATAAAATTCCTTAAGTACTGCAAACTGACAATCAAAAACAAAAATAAGATAATACTGGAAGCCACAAGAAACAGCATTACCATGTTCTTAAGCATAAACCCTACCACAAACTGCTCTGAGGACCGGCACCTCCTCGTGGACAAATTCTGTGGCACTCACCAGTCACGGTAGTTCTGTTCAAGACCCAGCTCTGGGAAGGAGAGAGGGCTAAATGATGGAGCTCAACCACCTACCCTTAATTACAGCCTAATTGCTACGTCTGAGAGCTTTTAGTACACACCATGATAAATTAAAATCTAGATATAATTATCCAACTTGGGCTGAAAACAAAGCTATTTTGGGGGGTTTGGATGCATATGAAGAATTCCAGGGAGTATTCGCACAATTTGAAGAAACTATGAAACCAAACTGAGTGACTAAAAACAGCTCTGCATAAAAAGAAAGATGAGAAGAGGCCCTTCCTTATGAACAAGAGAGCATTTGTAGATTGAGATGTAACTATATATGAAAAAGAACGACCACTTAATCCCACAAACTTTACACTTTAATTGTTGAGCACAGTCCAAAGTCTCTGCATAAAGACAACTAAATGCTGACATAAGTTGCTGCAACATAAAACAGGGTAATTGATTATCACTCCTCAGATCTGGCACGGCTTGCTCTAGCACAGGTACCCAACATGCTAAATATCTGGGTTCAACAGCAATCTTATAAAGCCACACCTTCATGTCCAACCAATCCTTTCCATAAGCTCATTTGCTGCATAAAGGCATTTCTACACCTAGCACCTGCTTGAGTTAAGGGCTGCCAGGGAGACAGCTGTCCAATCTCTGCTTCCTTCACAGCAGGGAGGTGGCTCTGTGCAGGCAAGGGGAAAAGGGATTCAGTCCAAAAGTCGGGAGAGAGGAATCCATTAGAAGTGTATTTACAAGAAATAAGTGCAAAAGGGCCTTGCATAAGGAGTAAAAAGGGAAAGGCAGTCACAGCTGGAAAAGGGATATGTTTTAGCTCCGAATGCATTTTACAGTTTCAGTTATGAATGTTGTAACTCTAAGCCATGGCTGTATAAGGGGTCTCATTACTTCGGTATTTAGCAAACTTGCTTTTACAACTCATACAACTCCTCGTAACTCCCAAGAGAAAATGTTCAAGTTACTAGAGGGTAGATATATTGGAAATTTAGCCCAAAATAAATACGCTCACAGAAACTAACAATCTGTCCTTGATAGACCGTAGCTAGTTCAACACATGATTTCTTTAGCCTCGTGAAGTGTTTAATGCTAATTTCCGTTTTTGCACATAGAATAGAATATTTCAGTTGGAAGGGACCTACAACGACCATCTAGTCCAACTGCTTAATCGATTCAGGGCTGATCAAAAGTTAAAGCACGTTATTAAGGGCATTGTCCAAATGCTTCTTAAACACTGACAGGCTTGGGGCATTGACCACCTCTCTAGAAAGCCTGTTCCAGTGTTTGACCACCCTCTCAGTAAAGAAATGTTTCCCAATGTCAAGTCTGATCTAACCTGGTTTTCAAAAAATCAGACCTTTATAAAATACACATACAAATTTGAAAAAATACAGGTTCACAGAATCACATAATCATAGAATAATTGTGGCTGCAAGGGACGTCAGAAGTGTATCCTCCTGCTCAAAGCAGGGTCAGCTATGAGATCATAGCAGGCTGCTCAGGTCTTTAATCATTCTCATCTCAGAAACTTCCCCATCTGCTGCACAACATCCCTGGGAAATCTGCTCCAGCACTCGACCGTCCTAAAGATCATTTGACTAAATGAAAGGGTCAGGAAGAATTTGGTGCTTTCATATTTAAGTAAAACTAGGACGGGCCCATAAAGTTTATACAAAGGAGAATATGAAAGAGTGAAAGAGCAACAACAGACAAAAGGAAACTACAGCAACAACACACTGTAGAAACAGCACAGAACACAAGCAATATAGAAACTGGGAGCACTGTGCAAACCTAAGGCATTTTGAGGCAGAATGGCCTTTACATTTATTTTCATGAAAATACAGTCCTTGCAGACTGGGAGCCCCAGACACCAAGCTCCTCTTTCTATCCACAGAACTGGTAAAAAACTTGCTTTGCTCTGCCTGTGCTAACCAATGCACCACTGAGAAACAGCAATTCATCCACAGCTCACACACCTGATCCTTGGTACTCCTCACTGATGACCATGGGGATCCTGAAGAAGCACTGCACAAAAATAAAACAAGTGCTTTGTCCTGGAAAAGGTCTTCAGAAGTGACAGTAAGGCAAAAAAATAAAAACCCAAAAACAAAACCAAAACAAAAACCCAAACAAAAAAAACACTTCAAAAGTTTTTTTTTCAAATCCCAACTCTGAGACGTTGAGAGCCACACAGCTTCAGATTTCACTTACAAACAGAAACAGCTTACACATCCCGTACATCAATTTACTTCTCTCAGAGCAATGTAATGTCAACCGTATTTGAACCAGTAACACTGGATACTTACTGTAAGACAGCAATACTTAGGTTAGCTCTCAAACCTGCCATCAGACGTTAAAACAGTACAACTGAGCTAAGCTTTAAAACCAACTCCCCTGTTTAAGCTTAAGCAGTGCTGCCTCAGAGAGCTAGATTATTTATACTAAACCAGCACTTTCTTATACCTACACAAACACAAAAAGTGCTCTGTAAACATCATTAACACTTCTTCCAGACGTGGTCCACTCTTGCCCTTAATGGGGACTCCATCTGTGCAGGAAAGAATATAGCCTTTCACAGGCTTTGACTCCTTTTTTAATAATTATGATTCTACAATTTTAAAAAAGAGACTCAAGTAGTATAGTCTATTTTTTCAAGGAGAAAGAAGTTATTTTTTTTTTTTTACCAATGACTATTAAATCAGGATCATCTTCTGATAACTTTCTTAAAACAAGTTTTAATCCATACTTACCAAAAGCACCAACGGCCTCTTCCATGTTGTTAAGCCTAAGATTCCAGATAAGATTACCTACAATGTCAAAAAACATAGCATCACCAAGAAGCGAACAACTGTTCACAAAATGCCATTTACATGGTATTTATCACTGCTCTGACGAAAGGTACTTTGGAACACTATGACAATGCTGGGAAGATATAAAGATGCACTTTAAAGCCGAGAATAAGAGCCTGTACTGATGAGGTCCTTCACTCCTAAGAGCATCCTGTGAAATAACACAACGAAATTTTAATCCACTGTTTTCTTATTTTTTCCTCACAGAAAACATGCAGGGGGACAAGAAGTTATGCCAGCAACTCTGACCTCAACAATTGCCTGAAAAATTACTTTCAGCTAGCTGAGTACTTGTTTTCTGCAACATAGCCAGTTTTTAGGTTTGCTTAGCCATCTCTTCTCCACCCTTGGTCACCACTCCATCACTTCATTAAGTGCCTGTGAGTACCCATTCCTGCCTCTTCCCTTGTGCTGACCCTGGCCCTCTTCTGACCATTTTGGTGAACTAACTCCCAAAGCATGAACCCTACCAAAACCACTGAAGAACACCAAAACTATCTGCCTGAACTGACTTGCTATTTCGTCGGATGAATGCCAGTATCAGCACGAGGAAAGAAGAGAAAGTAAAAGCATCCCCTTCTGCAGCAGTAGTCGTTAGACCAAACTTGCTGAATCACAGAACTGAACCCTATGACTCTTTACCTTAGAGGGCAAAACAATTAAGGAAGGAGAAAGCATTGCTGTAGAGCTGAAGCAAATGGCATACCCAAATACTCTCCCACAGTAAGGATGGGAACCCTATAAAGAAAGGCAAATCAGTTTTTCAGCAGGTCCCGCAAATAAGCAGGTATACTTCTAATTCGTGGGACTTTGTAACTAAGCCAATTCACACCAAACTCCTACCCTAAAAAGAAAGAAGATGACTAGAACAAACAGGAAGTTGCTCACTAGCATTTTTAATAAATCCCTTCTGTAGCTTCATTCACTTGACATGATCAATCTGATTTAGCGTAATGTGCATATATGACTTGGCCAAAACACCTACTGATATCATCACTGGTGTTGCAAAACCACATACGTAACTCTGCAGTTTCATAACAAATTATTTTTTGAATTCTGTGAGTGCAAAATAGTCACATGATTTTATAACAAAGCACATCAATACTGATGTGAATTGCTGTTTTGCCTTAAGGACAACAAGACTTATTTCATTAAGTTTGTTAAAGCTTTAAGATATATGAAAAGAAATTCTTAAAGTCTTCCTGATCTGTGCTTAACCAGTGCATCATAATCAGCATGTTGCATCTAAAGTGAAAAAACCCCAGACATATCCTCAATTCCAGCTTTTAGTTGCCTCTACCTTTCCAGGTTGCTCCTGGGCTAAAATTTTCACTCATGCTGTTATACCCAAAAGGCATTTTTGGTAACTTTTCCAACCGAATATATTATTGTTTCAGCGCTAGCATTAAAAAAGTAAATGCCCTTCTTCATTATTAAAGAGACTGAATACATCTATTTTACACGTGCAATTTTAAGACATTTTAAAAGCATAAGCATGGTTCTGTGTGCAGGGTTCAAAGAAAGTCCATAGCTTACATATATTTAAACTTGTTTTAATCTAGGGTAAGGAAAAAAAAAAAAGATGAAAGATCACAAAACAACATACACTTTTGGATGGTCTGGGTTCCCTCCCCTCTCCCCCTCCCTCCCCCCCATAAAGGCTGTCTGTACTTTCAGGGATGAGCATTGCATTATACACATGAATAGGAACTACTTGATCCCCAAACCGCAGATCACTGAGCACATTTCCACAGGTTGTGAACAACACTGGAAACGTAATTCAAGTGTTTGAACCGAGGGATAGGCTGATGCTGTTCACACCAGCAGCAGGAGCAGAGCATGCCAGCCACAGAACGCGACTTGCTCATTGCTCAAGGGCCCGCAAACTGGGCACAATCTATCCGACTATCTCCTATTCCTATTATCTTCTGCTTACTACTGCCTAGCTTCTCCAATATGAACTATTATATATTCTGTATTTATAAAGGTGCAGTTTAAAGCAGGGCCCAACAGGAGATGGAATAACTTCTCTCACTACTCTTTACAGAACTGTCAAAAGCCCATCTATTTTTTTTTTTCCCCAGGAACATCACCATTTTCTCTCTCTCTCACTGCAGTAACGGTACATGATGCACAAAAGCAGTGTGCAACACCTACATACACCACGACTTGAGAAAATCCTGTTTCTGATTGCGTATAATAATTGAGTACATTTTTTTAGGCTAAAACGCACACCAGGAAACAAATCCGGAATCTAGTTGTCTCTACGTTTGTGATCCCGTTGGGGTCCATGCTGTCACCCTGGTAAAACTGCTAGCAAAAGTGTAACTGCTCATTACTTCCGAGTAAGAGAAAGCTCGCTCTTCGCTTTTACAGCAGCGGGAGCGAACGTTTCTCGGTGACAGACAGCAGCTCTGCCCCGGAGGTCCCGCGTACTCCAAGCTTAACGTCAGCGCTGCACGCAGGGCCGGCGGGTCTCCCAGCGACCGGCGGGCGCCGGGA